TAGTACTATTGTGGCAATATGGAGCCTTTTATGACATTTGTTGTCTATTTAAACTGCATCTAAGTAACATTTATCATGGCCTTCAGAATTTTCTTTCTAGGTGATGGAAAGATCCCCATGAGTCAACAAAGGATGCTTTTGAAAATCTTTGCAAACTCTTCACTTTAGTATTCCTGTGGACCCTGTCAGCTGCTATTTGGTAACTCTGAAATACCATGGGATATAGTTTACTGAGCATGTTATAGAGGTAAATATCTTCTTCATTTGTGAGGGCTGGCAGCCATCTGAACCATGCCACAAATAACCAGAGCAGTGACTTCTGATAATAGAGCTTCTGTTTTAGATTCCATTTCACAATAATGAATCTGACCTCTTGGATTCTCTCAGGAAATAAATGCAGTTCAGCTGCATGAGGAAAAATGCATTTTATGGCCATACTCAGTAGTTGACATAGACTAACTACCCATTCACAGTACTGCTTTAAAGCCTTTCTTCATGGTTTTTCATTGCAGAATTACAATTTTAGAAAATGGAGAATAAGCATATGATCCTAGCTTCAAGGAAACCCTCCAAGCCTGTGATCTAATAGCAATGTGCAAATCTTCTTTAGCCTACTTCAGTATGTCTCATTTAAATTGATGTCCAAATAGTTTTGGGCACTTTTAAATACAATGTTATAAACATTTAAAGACACAGTAGAACTATCTAGAAATAATATTTCTTATAGAGATAAAACTAAAAGGGAAAAAATAAAAATAAATTGCAGTTAAGATAATGCTTGTCTTTACTGTAGTTAAATCACGTAGAGAAGATACATGAGGTAGTTAGAAAGCAATGGGCAACTAATATCCTATTACTACTGCTACTGAGTCACAAGTATTTGGTAAGGTCTTGACCTATGCAGGACGCTCTAAAAGCATGTTCTAAACTGAAAGATATGCAAGGGAGAAGGTCTATCTTTCGTACCTTAGGAATTTATATTTTCATTCACAATAGTGTTTTCAACTGTAATGTCTGATTTATGAAAGTGTTTGAATTAATTTGCTATTCCAGGCTAGGAAGATATGGACTATATTTTTGCATTTATTTCTGGATCTACTTCTTGTGATGGACTTCATTTAGATTCATTTCCATTTGATAATACATGTAGGGATGAGCTCATTCTTATGGATTCAGGAAAGTTTTCATTGAATGAAAGCATTTAGATTTAATCACTAATGAAAAGTAAATCTGAAAAGAAGGAAAGACATTTCTCTTTCTTATTGAATGGGGTCCAGTGGTTTCTTGAGTAACAGTCTATTACTCTGACAACAGATTCAACTTCCTGTCATTCTGAGATCAAAACTGCAATGTTCTCTATATGATTACTAGCTCATCTGTGGCTATTGTGATAGGAAAATTTTTGTGTTCATTTATTACAAAACACTTCGTGCAATGCTTCCAAAAGTATCAAGTAGGTTTCTCTGACATCTTGGTATTATGTCTGTGGGAAAATATGTGCTTACATTGAAAGTTTCTCTATGGAACAGTGCTGGTGTTGGATGCCCTTACCACTTGAGTAGGCATCTTGTAACAGAGAAGAGTAGCAAGTAAAGGATGGGGTTAGTTTGGGGTCAGCACCTTGGAGAGCTCTTAGAAAGGATTTTAACATTGTCCTGTGTACACACACACACACACGCATACACACACATATATATATACATATACACATTTACATACATATATACACACAAACATACACAGATGGCATGTACATATAAATATACAAATGTAAATATATACATATTTTATGTATATTTATACATTTGCACAGATATAAACATACACATATAATATATTTATGTATTTGCAGATAGACACACAAATTTTAGATGGATTCAGTGTTAGCAAGGACTTCACTGTGGAATTATTAATATGTGATGATTTCAACTGGGCTGAGGTAATGTTTTACTCTTCACCAAATTATGTCCCCAGGATAAAACAGTGTATAACTTGATGGCTCTTTATTTAAAGCAGTGATGCTTCTAGATACATGTTCCCCTTGAAAATCTATTATGATAATAATCATATTCACTAGACTTTGTAGTGATCCTACTGTATTCCAACCAATATGCTAGGCTAGGTATTTTATATAAAAATTATATGGAATCCTCACAATTGCTAAGTAGACACTATTATTGACATTCTAAAGTGTAGAAAACTGAGGTCTAGATAATTTGAATGATGTGTGCAGGATCACTTATGAAGCAATTTGTGGCATGATTTAGACCCAGATACATCTGGTTATAGAATCCATGTTCATTATACTACTCTGGGATTTGTCATTTGTCTTTAAAATTTTAATGTCATATTGTTTGGTCATATCTCTTTTCTCTTTGGGAGCTGGATGAGTGGCAAAAACAATTAACAAATTTTCTGAGATTAATTTGGTAGAGCTGCTATATAATTCACATCACTGAAGGAAAAACAATGCCAGTAGCCATAACACACCCCTGTGGGTGAGTAAATTGGTGCATTACAGATATTTAGTGACAATCTGGCAAAGGAGCCATACTGACTACTGAGAAGTCCAGTGATCTTCCATTTGTTTAATTCTTCTTTTATTTCAACCATCTGAGAGTTGTAAGGGACCACCCATGCTGATTTGCATAGAAGAGTTGCTATAGTAACCTTTGAGCACGTTACTACAGGCAACCTATTAACTGTAACCTTTATTTTTATGAGAGCAATACACTTTATATGTTTTATAGGTTATGAGAGTTATGTGTCACATATGTCCTCAAGGTGTTTGACTGTATTATGAAGTCAGAATAGTTTAACTTTGAAATTACAGTCTCTTATGAAAGATTTCTATTTTTGAGAAAATAAAAAAATGATGACTTTATTTTTAGTTTAGACTATTAGAGAATGTGACCAAATATGACATTATTGCTATTTATATGCCCTAGGAATGAGCATACCATTAGGATTTTTTCTTTTTCAATTTTTCCAATTTAGTGGAATGTTATTGCCTTCTGCCACTTTTCAACACTATCATCATAAAAATCAAGTGAAGAATTGAATTTTGAGCTTTATAATTCAAGCAAAACAAATGCATTTTGGTCTCTTATCTGCATATTTTAAAAATTCTCAGTTTTTCACTGCATTTTAATGGTGTATAGTAGATAAGCTATAGTTAAATGTAATAAAATTAGTTGATCTTCTATAAGCCCACCTTTTCATCAGAATTCCCCAAATCATGTACTAATTAATGCTTATTCGTCAGGATTCTGTCATCTAAATGTAAATAAGCTTCAGATAGATCTAAGAACCAATGGTCTTCTTCCTGTCTCCCAGAAATGAGAGGACAATTTCTCCTATCTTTGGGCTTTGGTTATCATCTGCCTCCTGTGTGGAGTACCCTGGTCACTCAACTTCACTTTCCTGTTTATCCTTCAAGTATCAGCTTGAGTCCCACCTTTTCAGGCAAGAGTTCCATTAACCAGTACTCTTCACCTACTCCACACTTACATAGTACTTACAATCTTTAATATTCATTTGTACCTCTATGCTTGGAAGTCTTGGAAATATCAGACTGTAGAAATACTAAACCAAAAATTCACTATCAGTTTGAGAGAACCTTATCTGAAGTATATTAAAAGTAGAGACTATGGACTCTGAGAAACAAACTGAGGGTTCTAGAGGGGAGGAGGGTGGGATGAGTTAGCCTGGTGATGGGTATTAAAGAGGGCACGTATTGAATGGAGCACTGGGTGTTATACGCAAAGAATGAATTATGGAACACTACATCAAAAACTAATGATGTGGGGCGCCTGGGTGGCTCAGGTGGTTAAGCGACTGCCTTCGGCTCAGGTCATGATCCTGGAGTCCCGGGATCGAGTCCCGCATTGGGCTCCCTGCTCGGCAGGGAGCCTGCTTCTCCCTCTGACCCTCCCCCTCTCATGTGCTCTCTTTCTCTCTCATTCTCTCTGTCTCAAATAAATAAATAAAATCTTTAAGTAAAAAACAAAAACAAAAAAACTAATGATGTAATGTATGGTGATTAACATAACATAATAAAAAAAAAAGTACCGTTCTCATTGTTGAGATCTATACCTTGTTGCTTCTATTCCTAATGTGCATGGAAGATTTAAACCCAAGTGCCCTTTGTTAATGCAAGTCAGGTTGAATAACTGTATGTCCAAGTTTCTTGCTCTTGATTCTTTCTGAAGAAGTCTCTGCTAGGGTCTAGATCCTTACCCTGTTTCTTCTAATTTCCTAAGGCACCTGGCCACTTACCAATCCCACTCCCTACCTCTGGTCACACATTCTATAAACCTGATTTGGATCTCCTTGCTACAGGAATTGCACTAAATGATACTCTATATTACTGGATATTTCACTTTCAACTGATCTCTTGGGTAGTGAAGCTAGCCGAGAAGCTAGCCGAGTGAAGCTAGCCAAGGTATGAATAAACTTGGATTGGCTGGCTTAGACTCTTCATTCTATACTGAAAGTTTCTAGGCCTCCATTATGTTTATTTGGTCCATCACCCCAATTTTCTGTTCAGGTTCTTTCTTTCTCCTCACCATTTATGTCAAGCAGAGAAGCAGGAAAGAATTACAGGAGACAGGCTGGCAGGGGCTAGAATAGGGCATTTGATGGTCATTTGGGCCCTGGTATCGCAGCTTGGATTAGGGCTATTGCTCAGGCCCCAGGAGTTGTATTTGCCAAATAAAGACACCCTCCTGGCCTTAGGATGTGAATAGGAACCAGTCAGTGTATGCAAATAGAATACAGGCACTACTTATCAAGTATAAATCCATCTACAGAGGGTGACACAGTCATGGGGTTCAGAACAGGCAGGGAAAACTGTTCTGGCAACACTTTATATGACCGTGGTCAACATAGGGCACACACAGATTTTCATGTCAACCTAATAGAAGAGAGGATTAAATAGGAGAGGAACTCAGAGGTTAACACTGAGGCATTATGTTGCTGAGATGATGATTTTTGATTACTCAGGTCCTCTGATTACAGTTGCTTGGAGAACCAGAAAGGACTAAGTCAACAACACTGACTTTCAAAAAAGGTGAGTATGACATAGATATTGAGTATCTCTTTGACTGATTAATATTACCATTTTATTGTTAGTGGAGATTTTTTTCTTTCACATTTATATACACTTGTTTATATTTATGTTCACATAGAATTGTTTTGTGTTATATAGTAAACTTTTATTATTCAAATGACTTAGATTCCTGCCAACCCTAGAACTATATGCAGGAGAACATAAAGGATTATTTGGTGGGGATGATATAAATATAATCAACTCTCAACTATTTAGGAACCCTTAGATATTTTCCCCTGTGTCTAACAGCTAGTCATTTTCCCAAACCTATTAAATGAGTATATCCATGTATTATAAATAACATTTTTTATGATTGTATTTGGTAAGTTCCTCATGATTCATGATTTTTAAACCTGCATGATTGCTATAATGCTGGTCTGATGATTATTTTATACCACTAAGTTTTGAGAGTATTCTGCAATTCCCTAAAACTCTTCATGATTCCCTTAAAATCCTGTTTCTTTAAAATATTAATTTAAATAAAAATAAATAAATAACTAAATTTATGTATTCTTGTGATAGATACCGCCATTTTGGTTTTCTTTCATCCTGCATACATAGCTTCATATTTTAGAAATATCACAGACATATGCACATTCATTTTTAATGGGAAAATCTGGGGTTAGGAAACATTACCATTTTTTTACATAAATCTTAATCAAATTAAAAAACAGTGCTAGGCAAATAATAATAATGGGAAAGAAGTAAATGTTTTATTTGGTTCCTCTTTTTTTGAGTTACCACTGTATTGTATATCAAAGCACACTTACCTGTATTTGGGAGTTAACAATCATATGCTATGATTAAGCAAATTCAGAAGTTAGTATTTATTTCATTCTTCCTTTGGTTTCTTCCTTCCATCTCTCTGGATTTTTCTTTAAGAGTAAACATTTTATTTGTTCATATTTTTGCATGAGTGAGAGGTGGGAAATGGTCTCAAAGGCACATTTTATTCTGCAAGGTTAATGGAAGAAAGAAAGGCTCTGGAAACTTTATTTTTCCAATGAATCAGAGATGAAATATTTGTTGGAAACCCTAAACTTGTCTCTACTTTGCACTAGTTAAATATCATACAATTCTCAACCTGTATTCTTTCATTTACATGGACATAAAGAATGGGCTTTACTGTTATTTATTCTAGCGTAACTGAAACTTTATATCCAGTCAACCTCCCCATTTTCTAGGCCCTGGCAACCCTATTGTATTCTCTGCTTCTATGAGTTTGGATTCATGCACTATTTGTCTTGTGACTGGCTTATTTTACTTAGCATAATGTCTTCCATGTTCATCCATATTGTCACAAATGGCAGGATTTCCTTTTCTTGTGGCTGAATAATATTCCATTATATGTATATACCACATTTCCTTTATCCATTCATCTGTCAGTAAATACTTGGATTGTTTCCATATCTTGGCTATTGTGAATAATGCTACAATGAACATGGGAGTACAGATATTTCTTCAAGATCCTGATTTCAATTATTTTGGATGTATATTCAGAAGTAGGATTGCTGGATCATATGGTAGTTTTATTTTTGATTTTTTGAGGAAACTCCATACTTTTTCAATAATGGTTACACCACTTTATATTCTTACCAATAGTGTATAAGTTTCCAATTTCTCCATATTCTTACCAACACATTTTTTTTTCTTTCTGGTAATAGCTATCCTAACTAGTGTGAAGTAGTATATCATTGTTGTTATTTGCATTTCCCTGATGATGAGTGATTTTGAACATCTTTTTATAACCTATTGGCCTTTAGTATGTCATCTTTGAAGAAATGTCTCTTCAAATTATTTGCCCATTTTCAGTCACTTGTTTTGTGGCTGTTAAGTTGTAGGAGTTAGGTAACAATATGGTACTGTGCACTTCAGAACTTATTAAGAGGGTAGATCTCTTGTAAAATGTTCTTAACACAAAAAAGCCCCAAACAACAAAGGGACACAAAACACTGGAAAGTGTTGGAAATATATATATATATATTTCCTTGTTTGTGGTGATGGCATAATGGGTGTTTGCGTATGTCTAAACTTATCAAACTGTACACATTAAATGTGTGATTATTTGTATATCAATATAACTCAGTAGAGCTGTTAAAAATGAATAAGGGTAATTATTAAAGGATGTTAAGATGAAATGAGCTTTGAAAAGAAATTCAGTTAAATCTCATTAACTTGGAGCCAATTTGGAATGTTAGACAATTTTGTTCAAGAATGAAGTGTGGTTGAGGTGTTCCTTAATTTTTTTGAAGGACAAATTATTGGTTTGGTATTATAACTGCATGAATGTGTTAAGTATTCTTCCTTCCAACTGCATTTAAAATGTTCCATTCATTACTATTTTTTCTTTTCTTTGTTCATAACAATCTCCAATTAGTAATAACAATGATAACAAACAAACTGTATTGGATTGAATAATGTTTCCCCAAAACTCATGTGCTTCCTGAAACCTCAGGATATGACCATTTTTGGAGATAAGGTCCTTGTATATGTAATTAAGATGAGTTTAAGTTAAGATGAAGTGATACTGGAGAAGTGTGGGCCCTTAATCTATGACTGATGTCTTTATATGGAGAGAAAGAGAGACACAGAGATACACAAGGAGAATGCCATATGATAATGGAGACGTAGATTGAAGTGATGAATCTACAAGCCAAGGAATACCAAAGATTGCTATCAACACCAGAAGCCAAGAGAAAGGCATGAAACAGATTCTTCCTTAGAGACTAGTAGAAACAGATTGGAATGGTGGATTCAGGGGCTGGGGCCTGGGAGAAATGGGGAGATATTCGTCAAAGCATACAAACTTTCAGTTATAAGGTGAAAAAGTTTTGAGGACTCTTAGGTGCACCATGGTGATTATAATTAACAACAGTGAATTATACAGTTGAAAGTTTCTGAGAATAGATGTTAAATGTTTATCACCACACATACAAAAGGTAAATATGTAGTTGATGGAGGTGTTAAGTAATGCTATTGTAATTATTTTGCAATATCTAAGTGTATGAAAGCAACATGTTGTACACCTTACAATTATACAATGCTATATGTCAATTATATCTCAATAATTCAGGAATATAAATAGAGACAAAGCGTAATCTTAGATCCTGATTAGTTCACTGTCGATTATGGGGGACAGACTTGTAATGAGATAAGGACAATAGAGTATCATATGTGCTGGCAAAGAGGTAAGCACAGGCTTTAATGGAAGCCCATAGAAGGAACTTCTTAATCCTCCTTGTGTGAGCAAAGATTTGCTTGACATGGTAATTAATCTCAAATTAATCTTAAAGAATTATCAGTTGTTAGAAGTAAAAGGTAGACAGGAGAGCAAGAAAGTAAATCAAGTAGAAGAAATAACATGTGCAAATGTCCAGAGTAACAAGGGCTCATTTTGACAATTGCAAAATATTTTATTATGACCACAGCCTGAAGTAAAAGGAATAGAATGATGGAATAAGGCTAGAGTGATTATCAGGGTACAGATCAGGGAAGGCCTTTTGTGACACATTAAAGAGTTTGAACTTTACCCTGAGAGTACTGGGGAACTGGTTAGCATTTTAAGCCTGAAATATCCTGCTCAGATTTGTCATTTAGAAGAATCACCCTGGCTACACAATAGATAATGGATTTGAGACAGGCAAGACAGAAGGCAGAAAGATAGTTAAGAGGTTGTTATAATAATTCATACTAGAGAAAATAGTGGCTGGAATTGAGATAGCAGCTGCATGGATGGAGAGAAATGGCTATATTCCCCTTATACTGAGAAAATAGAATATTTAGACTTTTCTAATTGATTTGATTTGAAGGGTGGAGGTAGGTAAGCAGGCAGGCATGATTCCCAGGTGTCTGGTTAGACATTAAGGCTGCCATTCACTAAGTTAGGGAATACAGGAGAAGAAAATTGTGAAATAGTTAATTGAGATAAATCTATAAGAAATAAAAAAGAAATATTATACAGCTATTAAAAATCATAGACTATGTACTAGTACTATGTACTAATAAGAAATTCGTGCTACTAACTTAAGAAAAGCAGGATGTAAAATTTTACATGCATTATGATTATGGCTAAGTAAAATATACAAAGAAAAATAATATAGGGAAATAAAAGAAAATGCTAAAAATGATTATATTAGAGCATTGGAATTTTTATTTTCTTTTATCTATTTTATAATTGTTTATATGATTATGTTGGTTTCATAATGGAAAATGTTCTAAGAATAAAACATTTAAAAATAATTGATCAATCTAACATAAAACCAAGGTAACATAAATAAAATATTAAAACTAGTAAGTCTAATTTCCTGATTTCTAATGTTTATTATGTAAAATATAATTCCTACCAGGTTTTATAACATATTTTGATAAACTGAAATTAGTGACTTTTTGACAATTGAGTTGAGATGAAAAATTAGAGGCAAACCATATCTCTAAGAAAGTTCTCTGTTCATTATCTACACTAGGAACAACTTCCCAATGGCGATAACTAAAAGACAGATGAAGATAACTAGTGCTCAGTCATCTTTCCTAGGTTGAGGAATTAAAGAACCTTTTTCCATTATGGACTGAAAAAAATGATCTATCAGGGAATTTTTATAATGCTTAACATAAATATTCTGAATTCTTCTTGCTAAATTGGAATCAAGAAATTGAAGTATTTAGACCTACTTTTATCTACTTCTTCATTGTAAGACAAGTACTATACCTTATGTATAGATAACTGACCAAAATGCATTCCCTCATGTAGTAATTGTAAATTCTATTACTCAAAAACATTTTCAGGTCTAGTGGGTGGCTTAGTTAGCTAAGCGTCTGACTCTTGATCTCAGCTCAGGTCTTGATCTCAGGGTTTGTGAGTTCAAGCCCCTGATTGGGCTACATGCTGGATGTGGATCCTACTTAAAAAAAATCAAAAAACAAAAAACATTTTCTTAACAAAACTAATTCTCTCACAAACTTGT